CGTACCGAAAACGCTCAGGGATGTAAGGAAATTTTTAGGTACTGCGGGCTGGTATCGCCGATTCATCAGAAACTTTGCATCGCTATCAGCACCAGTGACAGACACTCTGAAGAAAGGAAAAGTCTTCTCGATGACTCCAGACGCACTAGAAGCATTTAAAGAATTAAAAAAAAACCCGCTTACTACAGCTCCGGTACTTCGAAATCCGGATTTCAGAAAAATTTTTTATTCTGTCTGATGTAGGCATAGGGGCTGTATTGTTTCAGAAAGAGGATGATGGGGCGGAGCGGTCCACAGCCTTTTTCTCTCAGAGAAACTATAGCGTAACGGAGAAAGAGTGCTTGGCGGTAGTAATCAAACGATTCCGACCATACGTCGAAATGATGCCTTTCACTGTAGTCACGGATCACGCCATCCTCAAGTGGCTAGTGTCATTGCGCGACTTGAGTGGGTGCCTCGCTCGATGGTCTCTGCAATTACAAGCATATGATTTTAAAATTACTCACCGAAGGGTACCGAAAACGTAGTAGCCGATACGCTATCGTGGTTAGTAGATGAACTGAACCTGGAGGAATATCCCATCTCGTCCTTGGAAACAACGGCATTTAGCTCTGTAGAATATCTCGCAATTCTCAAAGCCATTGAAAGCAACCGAGACAAGTAGCCGGACTTCAAAACCGAAAGCGGTTATGCATTTAAGCCCACTGGATGTGCGGCACAAAATGGCGAAGAGTTCATCTGGAAGCTGTAGATTCCCGAGGAGCTGGCAACTACACTGATTGCAGAAGCGCATGAGCCGGAGAATAGATCTCATGCGGGCATCGGAAAAACTTTACACCGGCTGCGCAGATTCTATTACTGGCCGAAGATGGTATCTCAGATTGTTGGCTTTGTGCGTCAGTGCGTTGTTTGTAAGCAGACAAAAGCTTCGAATCGTCCGCTAAACCCAGGAGGTTCTTACCGAGAGACCATTCCAAAAAATTTACGAAGATTTTCTGGGCAAATATCCGAGGTCCAAAAAGGGTAATGCTTATACCTTTATAGCGGTCGACCATTTTTCCAAGTTCGTTTTTCTAAAGACTATGCGAGAAGCCACTGTAAGCAATGTTGTTGCGTTCCTAACATAAGAAGTTTTCGCGAATTTCGGTGTACCTGAAACGTTGCATTCCGATAATAGGAAGCAATTTGTCAGTAAAGAGTTAAAGGCACCTGAAGACCGCGTTTTATGCTCCACAATCCAACGCTGCTGAGAGGGTCAATCAGTCAGTATTAGCCGCCATTATAGCATATTTACAGTGAGATGATCGAGATTGGGACCTCTATTTAAACGAAATCGAGTGTACGTTACGAACGGTCCACTCTGCAACGGGCGTTACTCCATATTTTGCATTATTTGGCCAGGAAATGTTTACATCCGGTAGCGACTACAAACTGGCGCGAAAATTAGTATCTTTGAGTGAGGGTGAACTTAGTATAGTCAATCGCGAAGACTATTTGCAAATTATGCGCGAACGAATTAAGGTCAACTTGCACGATGCGTATGAGCAGAGCGCACAGCGGTACGACAGAAGGAAACGCACAATAAACTTTCGTCCGGGACAGGAGGATTTCAAGAGAAATTACGTCTTGAGCGACTTCAAAAAGAATATTGAGGCTAAATTTTGCCCGAAGTATATTAAATGTCGAATTGTCAAGCCAATCGGAAACAACGTGTTCGAAATTGCGAACCTCCAAGGGAGATCACTTGGCGCGTGTCATGTAAAGGACTTAAAGCTGTAACATAATTTATAACACAGGTAATAATGTCCGGTCTAGCTCGCGGTAAAAGAGGCGGCAGCTCAGAGGTGGGTGTGGCCTACGCTAGACGCCTCGTAAAACAAATATCACGCTCCACATCTTTCCACCATCTCATCTGCCGACGCTAGAAGCTAACACTGGCTGAGAAGTGCTGTTATGGGAGCGCTGTTCCATGGCGATCGCCGAAGCATTTTTTTTTGTGATTCCCTCCGGATAGGCTTAGTGCGTCCGGCAAAATGACCCTAGGAGAAATAAAGGAAATATATGTATGTATCAGGGATTGGCATTGGTTGATCGTCAACTGTTTCATACTCAATCGATACCGCTGCTTTGTATGACTGAACAGCGGCGTTGGATTAGTAGTATCGATACCTAAACGAAATTACAGGATGACTGAACACCAGCGCATAGCGTGATGTCTTGCAAATACAGCCACCACAAGTGAACGATGCTTATAACAGCTCATACTGATATTGACTTCGGCAAACCTGTACTCCAAATGATCGTGCACGAAACCAGCTGCCACCCTGCACATGGTTTTAATGGCAGTTTGATCTTTTCCTAAATAGGGAGATGAGCATAGAATTTAGTTAGTAGGAAATATGTAATTGCCTCTAAGTCGTAATGATTTTTTTAAACTTACCCAAAACTCCTTGCTTGCTGCCCGTTGTCTATGTTATTGTTTTAATAGTTGCCTACCAGATAGCAACTAGCAACTGGTATAATGCACTGAAAGAAAAGGGATAGTTAGATTACAGGGAATACTAATACAAGTAAAAGATTTAGAAGGATGTGGGGGTAGCTTCAATCCCCGATAAATAAGGAAACCAAGGACATAAAAGTAGGTCGTTTGTAGCGGAGTCACCAAAACGTTAGTCAACGGCAGAACTTGCCACTACCGAAAGTGCGTTTTGCTTAAAACGTCCGCGGGAAATTCACGCGAGAATTGTATTAGTTTTTAAGTTTGAAAAAAGGTATGACAAAAGGATAGAATCTATACAAGGTGGTGTTACTGGCGAATTATATTTTCGCTGCGGGCGTACAGATTATCAAAATGATATGTTTGTTGTAAACAGGGCGAATTCATGTTACAACAAACACATCATTTTGACAATCTGTCCGCCCGCAGCGAAAATCTAATTCGCCGGTAATACCACCTTGTATGGATTCGCCTTGGTTACGATTATCCTTGAATACTTGGCGGATTTAGCAAAAAGCTATAAGTTCGTATCGCTGGATTGTTAAATAGACGCTCACGATGGCCAAATTATAGTACAATTAACTTTATTGTACAACAAACAATTTATTATACTCGCTAATGCAATAACAACACTTTACAATACTCGTTAAAGCAATTACAACGCTTTATAAAACTTGCTAATACAATCTATCTCTGTTTCCCAACTTGCTTGTAGCTTGCTGATTCGCAACTGACTGGCTTCTCTTCTACTATAGTAACGGCCTTACATAACTGCGCTCGCACTCATGGCAACCCTAGAACTTTCTACCATCTATCGTTCCTTCTCTCATTTTCTCGCTGTTCGTAGTATTCATCCACTTGACGTTTCTGAGACGAATATTCTACGCCATTCCTCCAGATTGAATCTAAACAAGGTGATGATACTGGCGAATTAGATTTTCGCGTCGGGCGTGCAGATTATCAAAATGATGTGTTTGTTGTAAACAAGGCGAATTCATGTTACAACAAACACATCATTTTGACAATCTGTACGCCCGCAGCGAAAATCTAATTCGTCGGTAATACCACCTTGTATAGATTCACCTTGGTTACGATTATCCTTGAATACTTGACGGCCTTATATAACTGCGCACGCACTCATGGCAACTCTAGAACGTGCTACCGTCTATCGTAATTTATTATACTCGCTAATGCAATAACAACACTTTACCATGATGCAATAATACAAGGTGTTATCAGTTGGCAACTTCTCGCTCTAATTCCGCCATATTGACTACCTTACGTGAAACAGTGTTACTTCTTTCACTATTCTTTGCCCATTAATATAGTTGAATGCTTTTTATTTTTTCTCAGTATACACACTTTGTTTTCTTAAAAAGGTATTTTATCTTATTTTATTTCATTTCATAACGAATATACTATAAAAAAGCAAATTTTGTTAAGGAGAAAATGTGAAATTTTATATTTTTCCCCCATATGGGGATTCATTTCTTCCCGTTTTTCTTCTCATTCTACTGAGCTAAGGTTGAATAATTCTCGCTTGGTCCCTTCGCACTCACCTCTTTACGCACACAAACTTTTTCCGATAAAGGAAAGGCTTTTGGTTCAGATCAGAAATTCAAAATATTTTTTGGGTTTATTTGTACACCACAATTGAATTTGATTTACAAGCGTTTTTATTATTGACTCTTGTAATAATGCTAAATGGACGCGTGCGCGATGTCCGACGTTAATAGCTGAACTGTGGCGTAAGTTGGCACGATGATGGTTGGCGGCCGTGCGCGCTCGGTAATTATTTTCGGAGTTGACGTAGGTCAACTGCCAAACTGCTGCGGCCAAGGATTGCGCGCACGGCCGTCGGATTGCGCTTTAAGCGGCGGCTTAAACATCCTCCCCGCCCTGCAGGAATGCGCTGCTTAGGGTCTCCTGCAGTTCTTTCAGCGCGCGGATCGCGTTGCCCAGGGCGCGGTTAGTTGTGCGGCCCTGGTAGCTGGCCGTTTGCAGGCCTTGGGGGGTGCGAGCGATCGTCCTTTGGGCGGTCTTTTTGCCCGGTGGTTGCGGCGCCTGCCTTCCGCGGTTGTGCGTATTCTTCTGCGCCTTCCTCTTCGGCGGTGCGCGCCGCTTTATGCTCGTTGGGGCCTTTGTGGCCGCTGCGGGCCGGTTGGCCTTCTGCTTCCGTTGGCCAGTGCGCGCGGGCCTGTTAGCTGCCACATGCAGCAGCGTATGGTGCGCTAAGCCGCAAACCTTGCAGCTGCCTGGAGAATCGCACTCGCCGGTTGTGTGGGTGAGCGCAAGGCAATTGACACAATACCCTTGCGCCCGGGATACTGCCAGTCGCTGCGGTGGCTTCATGGCCTTAAAGGCCGGGCACGTCCTGAGCGCGTGGTACTTGTGGCAGAGCCGACATTGGAGGCAGTTCTCCGTCTCTGCCGTTGGAGCCAGGGGGCATGCCTTCCGCGATGCCATGGTGTCTTCAATCTGGAAGTAGAAGCAAAGGCAGAAAAACGAGGAGTACTTGGGTACAATATTTAAACGGGAAGTTAAGACCCTTAATATACAAAAGGAAAAGATGTATAGAATTATTTATTGTGCTTTTGGAAGGAAGCACAGTTTGACAAGTGGCCGCGTGATAACTCCATTTTGTGTACGGACTTCCACAACACGTATGTGGTTATCAGGGCCATGGCGAACGTTTTCGATTCGTCCCAATCGCCACTCGGTGGGGGGGAGCGAATCTTCTTTGATCACAACGATGTCGCCTGGCTGAGGGTCGCGTTGTGGAGTTTTCCACTTGTACCTCTTCTGAAGATCTTTGGGGTAATCTTCTTTCCAGCGGCGACTAAAGTGGTGGTGAAGTGCTTTGACTTTCTCCCACCGGTTTAGTAGAGAGAGGAAGTGACCCGGAGTAAGTGCTGTCATATCAGCTGGGTCTTGAGAAAGTGCGGATAGAGGCCTCGAGTTGAGGACTGCTTCAATTCGCACCAGAAGCGTCGTGAATTCTTCGAAAGTGAACTTGTGGGTTGCAGCGGTTTTCTTTAAATGGATTTTAAAGCTTTTCACTGCAGATTCCCACAAGCCGCCCACGTGGGGGGCGCTGGGTGGTATATATTGCCAGTTGATGCCTTGAGGGGCATATTTTTTGACAATGTCTGCGGAACATTCGTTAAGGAATTTAACGAAGTCGCGTTCTGTTGCGCGCTGGGCGCCAATGAACGTTTTTCCATTGTCGCTCATCATTTTTGAGGGAAAACCTCGTTTGCCAACGAAGCGGGCGAATGCTGCTCGAAAAGCCTCGGTTGTAAGATCCGAGCATAGCTCGAGATGCACTGCCTGTAGGGTCTGTATTTGTGTTATTACCTTTATTGTACTGTGCTCATTTCAACTTTGTAATTTTGGAAATTTTAGATTTATGTGATTTTTGTGGTTCGTCAATCAAATAGAAAATTTTTGTTATTCAAACTTTTCTCGAATTGCTAACAACATAAAAATAAATTAAGTTTTGTTAACTTTTAATAAATATATTAAAAAAAAATCTTTGGAATCAACTACATTTTTGGCGATCCTGCCAGGAGCACCTCAAGCCATTATACGTTTACGTATATCTTTGCGAACCACAATTGTGCCTGTGCTGATTTGAAAACATCACGAGAGGCCTGCGCGCCATGCAAGTCTTCAATTTTGGCAAATTCCCGGAACTACAATAGAGGTTGCTTCATCCAGTGTCCAAGTTAGCGTAGCATGCAGGGATTGCAAACGCCACTACAATCAGCATCAATTAAAACTAACAGCGTCAGCATTAGCATCTGCTTCAGCTTCAGCTAGTCGCAGAAGCTGTTTTAACTACAACCACAACATTTACTTCATAACAGAGGAGAACTAACGATTCAAGTTCACCACTTAAGAAGCGGCGATATCTTTCCTACTCATCAACGTCAACACTAACTCCAATAACAACTACTGCGTACAACAACAGACAGCGACAGCGTTAGTAGCAGCAGGAAAATCAACGTGAACATCAGCAGTGTCACGTACCAGTTTCAGTGCCAGTAGTAGCAACGGAAGTAGCAGTAGCAGCAACACAAAAACGCTCAACAAACGAAGAACATAAACTTTAGACGCAGTTGATAACTCCGCCGATAATAGTAGTGATAACAACCAGTACTAGCAGCAGTGTAAATATCAACTATACAAAAGCAAAGCTCCTACCACTGGCAACAACAAGAACGGTAAGAAGCAATAGCAACGACAACGCAGCAACAATCACGTTGACTGTGCTGTCAATATCAGCAGTTGCAGAGCACAGTGAGCTGTTTCTTTTTATGTAATATTTTTGATAAATATATTTTTATATTTATTATTATATATATTTTAATTTTTAATTGTAAACACTCCTTATAGAGATTTTTTTGTGCGAAGTTATCATAATGTTTCGTTCACCCCCACATGATACACACACATCTACATGGACTAATAATTTAAATGACTCGCTTATAGATTTGCAAAACAACTCTTTTCAATAGGAGTTGGCAAATCCTTATGCTAGTCAATATAATAATGAGGTATATGCAACCTCAGTGAAGCTTCCGCAATTTTGGACAAGTTGTCCAGAAGCTTGGTTTGTGCATATAGAAATGCAATTTAACATGAAAAACATTACACAAGATACTACAAAATATGAACATACAATCACAGCGCTTCCGCAAGAAGTAATAGTTACATTATTAGATTTCATTCAAAATCCTCCGCATAACAACAAGTTTTCAGAATTAAAGAAAGTCTTAATTGAAAGACATTCTTTAAGCGAAAATAAGAAATTAGATAAAATTTTGTCAGATTCAGAGATGGGTGATCGTAAACCCTCTCAATTTTATCGGTCGCTCATGTTGCTCGCAGGTTCCAATTTTAGTCAGGATATTTTAAAGAAACTTTGGCTGAGAAAATTGCCAAAAAATCTTAGTGTGATATTAGCTAGTTCAAGTACTAATGATATAAATGAATTGGTGAAACTAGCTGATAATATTTGGGAAGTGATTAATAAAACCGAAATATCAGCTATGAATAGTTTTCAAAATTCTAAATCACAAGACACAATTATTGATAATTTAGTTAAAACGACGAATCTTATGTGCGAAAATTTTCAAAAACTTTCCTTTGAATTAAATTTTATTAAGCAACAAATTAATCAAAATTCTAGATATAGATCATATAATAGGAATTGTTTTAGAAGTCCATATAGAGGTAGATCAAAATCTCGTGATAGTCAAAATTGGTTATGTAGATACCATTACAAATTTGGTGATAAGGCTCAGAAATGTCAACAGCCTTGTGCTTTTTCTAAAAACAAAAATTCGTTAAACTAGAGTCATCCGTTGTTGTGGCGGCAAACAATGGAAATTTAGATATTACCACACGTCGCCTATTTATTTTTGATAAAGCAAACAAACTAAATTTGTTGATTGATAGTGGAACAGAAATTTCTATACTTCCGGTAAAAAAAATTCCCTCATACAAAACGTTCTTCAGATATAATACTTACTGCAGCCAATGGTTCAACGATTTCAACGTATGGTAAAAAGATTTTAAATATAAATTTAGGTTTAAGACGCGAGTTCCCATTTACGTTTCTCATAGCTGATATTGCGAAACCTATTATTGGTGCAGATTTTCTTTGCAAATACGGTCTCTTAATTGACATGAAATGCAAACGTTTAGTTGATCCAGTAACAAGTCTTTCGGTTAACACAGTTTCATGTGTTTGTAACATTTCGCTTCCAAAAATTTTTGTAGTAGAGAACAAGTATACAAGATTGTTGAAGGAGTTTCCTTCTTTGATCGCTGAACCAGATTATTCGAAACCGGTTAAACATTCTACGGTTCACAGACTTTTTACTGAAGGAAATCTGCCATTCTCTAAGCCAAGGCGCTTGGATCCGATTAAATTTAAAGTAGCCAAAACTGAATTCGATTTTTTAGTGAGGACAGGGATTTGTAGACCTTCAAACTCTTGTGTAGCATCTCCACTGCATCTTGTACCTAAAAAAGAACTGAATGACTGGCGTCCTTGTGGTGATTTTCGGAGACTTAATGTTGTGACTGTACCGGACCGTTATCCTTTACCTCATATTCAAGACTTTAACATGAATCTCAGAAATAAGTATATATTTTCGACACCTTTCGGTATGTTTGAATTTATACGAATGCCTTTCGGACTAAGAAATTCAGCGCAAACTTTTCAAAGATTTATTAATGAAGTAGTTAGTGGTTTAGATTTTGTTTTTACATATATTGATGATCTATTGGTTGCAAGTGAAAATGAAGAACAACATTTTAAAGATCTCCGTATACTTTTCCAACGCCTAACAGAGTACGGGTTAAATATCAAACCAAGTAAATGTACTTTCGGTGTAACAAGTGTTGACTTTTTAGGACATAATATTTCTGGGGCAGGAATTAGACCCTCTGATGAAAAAGTGATAGCTATTCGTAGTTTTGAACGTCCTAAATCTATTAAACAGGCGCAGAAATTTATAGGCATGGTTAATTATTACCATCGATATGTACCAAAATTAGCTGAGTTTACGGCAGTTATCTACGATTTAATCAATCGAACAACTAAGAAACGTGACAAGTCCTTAATTTGGGATGACACAACAAATAAAGCCTTTGAATGTATTAAAGAAAAGTTTGCGTCTACGATATTGTTAAATCATTTTAACAAAGATGCCAAACTCTCTTTAAATGTGGATGCATCTAATACGGCAATTGGTGGTGTCATACATCAAACGTTTGATAACAAATCAGAGCCACTAGCTTTCTTTTCTAAGAAACTTTCTCCATCCGAGGTTAAGTACAGTGCATTTGACAGGGAGTTGCTAGCTATTTATTTGAACATTAAACATTTTCGCTATCTTTTAGAAGGACGACAATTTACAGTTTTTACGGATCACAAGCCTTTGATATACGCTTTGAGTTCAAAAACCGAACGTAGTCCGAGACAAACTAGACATATGGAATTCATTGCACAATTTACTAATGACATACGATATATTAAAGGACAGGAGAACATTATAGCTGACACATTATCTCGAGCTTTCGAAGTTGATGCAATTAAGGGTACAGAACTGAATTTCAAAGTTTTACAAAATGAACAAGAACAGGACGGGGAACTAAACACATTAAAATCTGGAGACACATCACATAACCTTAAATTAATTCAAATTCCACTTTTAAATTTTAATATTTGGTGTGAAATGACAGGTGAGAATCCTAGGCCATTTGTTCCAAATTGTTTACGCAAGACAGTGTTTAATATGCTACATGGCATTACACATCCTGGTACAAAAGCTTCACGTCGTCTAATTATTAAAAAGTACTATTGGCCAAAAATGCACAAAGAAATTAATATTTGGTCAAAAGAATGTATAAATTGTCAAAAATCGAAGGTTAATCGTCACACAAAATCTCCAGTAATTAAAATTCCGATTCCCAAAAGTAGATTTGATCATATTCATTTAGATATTGTTGGACCTCTTCCTGTATCGAAAGGACATCGTTATATTTTTACAATAGTTGATAGGTTCACGCGTTGGCCCGAAGCATATGCATTAAAGGACATTTCAGTGGCAGTGGTTGCAAATAAATTTTTTAGAGAATATGTTTCACGTTTTGGGGTACCGTTAAAAATCACTACAGATCAGGGTACTCAGTTTATGTCAAAATTGTTTTCGGAACTAACAAAATTGCTTGGTAGTCATCACATTACAACTTCTGCATATCATCCTCAAGGGAATGGTATGGTAGAACGGTTTCACAGGCAGTTAAAAGCTACGATAATGGCTAGAAATGGAATCAACAATTGGTATTATGAGCTGCCGATAATACTTCTTGGTTTACGATCGATGTATAAAGAAAGTATTTCAGCCACATCATCTGAGATGGTTTTTGGGCAAACCTACCCGGTGAACTTGTTGTTCCATCTGAAGAAAAATGTTCCCCAATTGAAGTTTTAGGTAATTTACGGGAACATTTTAAAAATGTTAAATCAAATTTAAGGCATAATCAAAATTCTGATACTGGTGTATATATACCAAAGGATTTGGAGACTTGTAAATTTGTTTTTATGCGTGTTATTAATAAAAGATCATTGCAACAACCATACGAAGGACCTTATAAGGTTGTTGAAAAAAACAAAAAATATTTCAAACTTGAAGTAGATAATGAGGTTAAAACAATTCCGATAGATAGGTTAAAACCAGCAATCATTGAAACAGAACTAATACCAGAAACAAACACTAATACAATGAATAACACAACATCAAATAAGAAACGAGTTACTTTTAATTTATATAACATTGATTCTCTAGAAGGGGGAGTATTGTAGGGTCTGTATTTGTGTTATTACCTTTTATTGTACTGTGTTCATTTCAACTTTGTAATTTTGGAAACTTTAGATTTATGTGATTTTTGTGGTTCGTCAATCAAATAGAAAATTTATATTATTCAAACTTTTCTCGAATTGCTAACAACATAAAAATAAATTAAGTTTTGTTAACTTTTAATAAATATATTAAAAAAAAATCTTTGGAATCAACTACACTGCCTTTGTGGAAAAACAGACAAAAACTGCAACGTATCCCTTGATAAGGGTTGTGGATCTTAGCACCGATGCTTTAATTTGAAATGGCCCAGCAAAATCTACTCCCGTTGTGGAAAATGGGAGTGAGAAACTGCAGCGCTCAGGGGGTAGAGCGGCCATTATTTGGGTGCGTGTTTGTTGCTTGTAAAGCGTGCACACTTTGCATTGAAAGATGCATTTTTTAATTAGAGGTTTCAGCTTTGGTACGTAAAACTCTTGCCTTACCATTTGGAGCATTAATCGTGTTTCTGCGTGAAGAAGCAGCGAGTGTAAAAACTCCAAATATAGCTGGCAGAACCTCGATTCGGTAGGGAGAATTATTGGGTGCCTTTCATTATAGCTTAATGTGGAATGTGCTAATCGGCCATTAACCCGTAAAAGTCCGTCTTTGTCCAACGAAGGATTGAGAACAATAAGAGGACTTTTTTGTTAAGTGGCTTTTTATCTTGCAAGCAACTGCAATCAGTCCTTAAACTAAAACGAACCAGCAGCAGCGCGCTGCAGGGATGAAAAATGGAAATTTCAGATTGTACTTAATAGCATAAATGTACCCAAATGAGACAGATTGCACCTAAAAAAAGTTACATAATTAATTTGTAGTTTTTTTTTATAAATTTTATTTAAAACATGAATACAAAGGATGGATGTACTTTTAACATGATTAGTTTTTTTTTTTAACTGAGTCTATACCTCTGTGATCATAAGCAATGACCGCCTAAGTCGACTTAAGAAAGAATTGAGTTATTTATGCTATCGGTTTCTGCAACTACTATTCTATGTGTATGTGAAACTCCTATCTCGTTAACTACAGGGTAAGGCTTCCTCAAGTGGGCACCTAATTTACCAACATTAATATTTTTCAATGATATTCAGGCAGCGCCGAGTTTTGTAGTCGAACAGTACACTGTGTAATTTTTGTTGCAAAATTCCAAATAGTTTTTTTTTTTTAATCAACAATTGAAAATTTTTGCAGTCTTTTGGAAATTTTTATTTTTCTTTGAAAGTAATTGTCCGAATGAAAAAAGTTTTTGGATGCAGATTTAAGAAACATTAAACTATACAATGAAATTATTTGCGTTATTTACAAAAATATTTTTTTTGCTTTTCAATCATTTTTTTATGAAAAATTTATTTTATTTATTTATTTATTTTTGACAGTCTTGCGACTTAAAAGTACAGATAGATATTTTTGATATATGTATAACAAAGTATGCGTATATGTAAGTTTAAATTTTCAATTACAAAGCTGTTTATGTTTCTAAAACTATCAAATAACCTATATAAATGTATATTGTCTTAGGTTGCAAACAGAGTGGAAGCGAAGCCGATGACGAAGATGAAGACGAAGCCGAAGACGAATTGCTTGCGTTGCGGGCAAGCTGGCGAGTGTACATAGTGGAAGATGAATGATATGAAGATTTGTTTCTAAATAAAACCCTTTTTCTTAGATAAAATCAAAAGAAAATAAAGAAAAAACAGCAATTCAGGAAATAATTTGTATAGGACAACTTTTGGAGAATTTCGCCACTTGTATTATGTGTTACGGCATGACGGACAGACATTTTTCGAACATACAAGAATTCCAATTAATACGTTTGATTACATTTTGCAAAAAATTTAGCCAATTTCTTGAAAAACGCGTTTTTTCACAATTGCAAACAGTTAAATAAATTGTAAAAAACTCATCACAGCAAGCGAGTCGTCTTTGAAAACAGTACCGCACTGTTTCAAGCTGACCGCTTGCGCAACGTCTTCATCTTCATCTTCGTCTTCGTCTTTGCTTGCACTGTGATCACTTTCATATGTTTACTACTGCACTGTTTTTCGTCTTCGGCTTCGTCTTCATCTTCGTCTTCGGCTTCGCTTCCACTCTGTTTGCAACCTAACTAGTTGGGTAGCTGGCGAGGCCTAGTCTCCAGTCTACCTTTACATATGTACTATGTGCAGCGGGCGGAAAGACCGTGTTTCCGCTCCGCGTTGCTCACGAGTTGATAGTCACGGTCGGAAAGGCCGAGTTTTCGATCCGTGTTCCCGTCGTCATTAATATGCAAACCCTGACGCTGGATTCCGTGATGTGAGGTGGGCGTAAAGGCCTAGTTTCCGCTCCGCGTTATGGGCGGGCTGTTGGGCATAGTCGGAAAGACCGAGTTTCCGATCCATACTCACAGCGTCTTACGTATGCTAGATCATTTGCTGCTTGGTCGGATGGAAAGGCCTGGTTTCCATTCCGTGCTTTCCTACCTTCTTAACTTTTTTTTTAACTTTTAAGCAATATCTGCGCCTCTTGGACGAAAATTTTTAACAACAACTTATGTAATAAACATTTCTGCATATATCTATGAAAAAATGCGTGCATTTCAATATAGTTTAGTCGGAATTAATTTTTATTTGCCAGCGTGCGGGCCCGACTCGCGTGGCTGGATCGCGAGCAATCTGTGTTGACTTCTTGCGCAAGAAAGAAATGCACGTTTCAATTGTTCCACTTTTATTTATCATGCTCGAATTTCGCGGGAGTTGGGCGCGCACGCTGGCAAATAAAAATTAATTCCGACCAAACTATGACGAAATGTACGCATTTTTTCATAGATAAATGCAGAAATATTTATTACATAAGTTGTTGTTAAAAATTTTCGTCCACGAGGCGCAGAAATTGCTTAAAAGTTCAGTTTTTCATAAAAAAATGATTGAAAAGCAAAAAAAATAAATATTTTTGTAACGCAAATAATTTCATTGTATAGTTTAATGTTTCTTTAATCTGCACCCAAAAAATTTTTTCATTTGGACACTTACTTTCAAAGAAAAATACAAATTTCCAAAACAGAGTAAAAATTTTCAATTGTTGATTAAAAAAAATTATTCGGAATTTTGCAATAAAAATTACACAGTGTACTGTTCGACTACAAAACTCGGCGCTGCCTGAATATAATTGAAAAATACTAATGTAGGTAAAATCGGTGCCCACTTGAGGAAGCCTTACCCTACACTATTTAAAAAGTTATTGATGAAAATATTTTGGTTTCCCCATAAGGTTAACATTACAATCCAAATCTTTAAAGCGTTTTTTCTCGAATTCGGGTTTTTCGACTTAGGCGATTATTGCTTATGACCACAGATCTATAGACTATAGTCTAATGGGAATCACAGAAACGTTGTTTTTGTCTACTGAAAAATATTGGCGAAAAAAAACAAAAAAAAAACACTTTGCGAAGTATACTTCTTTATCCAGCTTTAAAAAAAAAAACAGGAAAAGTGTGGTAGTGCAGCAAGTCTAGAGAAAATAATCAAATTGCCGTAAGTAACTTCGAAAGCAGTTTAAATATATTTCCAGAAATAAAAAAGCGAATATGGCTCCAATAGCTATAGTTCTCATCTAAAGAAAGTATGAAATTTAAAGACATCCTAGACACTGGACTGTATGGGCGAATAAAGGCTGGTTTTTATTATATCATATTTTGACAACAAAATTTGTAGACATATTTTGACGCAACTTGCTTTCCTTTATCCCTACCTTTATCGATGATATTATGGGTCAAAAACTTACAAATAGCCGCTTAGCAGCGCATGTATACACCTATTCGGATCTAGATCAATCACATGACCATTTTTTAGTTCCATTTGACAATTTGTTTTCACTCATTTGACCGAAAATACCATTGAATTTGACTAAGTGAAAATAATCGTTAAAATTAATAGAAAAAAATACGAATTTGAGGATAGCTAAGTAAAGTGTGCAATGGAGTGCAATGGGGTATAGTCGTTGCGCTGGGTATGCAGTTACTGTTGCATGGCTATACTCAATCCCGACTCTTGCGTCCTCGTTCGCGCACTCTGGGCAACGTGAGCAACCCATGTGCGAGATGCGGTAACCAATCCGAGTGGAGCCTTGGGTCACGGCAGAAAGAGAGGGAGCTTCGGTGGGGCCACTCTGACTTATGCGGTTTAAGGGCTCACTGAAGTCTGCAGCGTCTGTTCACCAGTAGGTGCGGCTGCAAGCGGGTGTCTGCTTGGAGCAAGCGGCTCGCTTTATAAACGTGTATTTGGTTGCGAAACCACCCCCGGTCCCAGCAATGGGTTGTGCGCTGGGCTTGGGACCCGCCACGTAAAAACCTCGGATGAGACCCCCCCCTTATGATGACGACCACGGCAAACGTTTAAAGGACTACGATTTGAGGGCATGCACCTGGAATGTCCGGACCCTTAATGGGGACGGTGACTCTGCCCGGCTGGTTGATGCCCTCGTAAGGACAAAAGCTGACATCACCGCCATCCAAGAAATGCGTTGGACGGGGCAAGGCAAACAATGTCTGGGGCCTTGCGACGTCTACTACAGCTGCCATGTAAAGGAGCGCAAATTCGGTGTTGGATTTGTGGTGGGAGAGAGACTCCGTCGCCGAGTACTGTCATTCACCCCGGTGGACAAGCGTCTAGCCACAATCCGCATCAAAGCGAGATTCTTCAACATCTCGCTCATCTGCGCCCATGCCCCGACGGAAGAGAAGGATGAGGCATCCAAGGATCTCTTCTATGAGCACTTGGAGCGCACGTACGAGCGCTGCCCCCGTCATGATATCAAAATCGTGTTTGGCGACTTCAATGCCAGGGTGGGCAAGGAAGGGATCTTTGGAACCACCGTCGGAAAATTGAGCCTCCACGAAGAAACGTCCGACAACGGATTGAGGCTGATCGACTTCGGCTGGGCCCGAAACATGGTAGTACGCAGTACTAGGTTCAAGCATAAAAAGATCCATCAAGCTACGTGGCTGTCTCCGGATCGAAAAACGAGAAACCAAATCGATCATGTGGTGATAGACGGAAGGCACGCTTCCAGTGTTTTAGACGTACGCACACTCTGAGGCCCAAACATCGACTCGGACCACTATCTTGTTGCAGCCAAGATACGCACCCGCCTCTGTGCAGCAAAAAATGTGCGCCCAAATATGCAAGGAAAGCTTAACGTCGAAAAGCTGCAATCACAACAGACAGCCAGCGCTTTCGCTACTCGACTCTCACACCTGCTCTCAGAGAGCACTCTTCAACAAACCGACATATGCGAGCAGTGGAACCACATTTCCCGCTCATTAAGTACCGCCGCCGAAGAAGTAGTCGGATTTCAGCGAGCCCGAAAGAACAACTGGTACGATGAGGAGTGTCACGAAGCTGCAGAGAAAAAAGATGCCGCCTACAGGGCCACACTGCGATCGGGCGCAACACGCGCTATGTGGGACCGCTATAGGGATCTGAAGAGGGAAGCGAGACGTATTTGCCGCAACAAGAAGAGAGAGGCCGAAATACGTGAGTGCGAAGAGCTTGAAATGCTGGCCGACGGGAGGAATGCCCGACAATTTTACCAGAGAGTTAGGCGACTTACGGAAGGTTTAAAGACCGGGGCGTACTCCTGTAAGAACAATAATGGCGACCTAGTAACTGATGTCCAGAGTGTACTTAAATTATGGAGGGAACACTTTTCCGCCCTACTAAATGGTAGCAGGACGGAAAGTTGTGGAGAAAAAGAACCCGAGCCCGCAGTCGATGATGACGGAGTCGACGTTCCACCGCCTGACTATGACGAGGTACGTATAGCAATAACGCGGCTGAAAAACAACAAAGCCGCTGGAGCTGACAGCCTGCCAGCTGAGCTATTCAAGTTCGGCGGCGAGGAGTTGATAAGGTGCATGCATCAACTCTTGTGCAGAATATGGTCAGATGAACGCATGCCCGACGACTGGAATTTAAGTGTGCTCTGCCCAATCCACAAGAAAGGTGACCCCACCATTCGCGCTAACTACCGCGGGATCAGCCTTCTAAGCATAGGTTACAAGGTCTTATCGAGCGTATTGT